GACCTTGAAGACTGGCCTCTGCTGGCCCCTTTGACCTTAACTCTTACCCTCACTCCTTCCTCCGTGGCCTCCATGGATCAGATTCTTGAGCTGTTCCCAAGGCCCAGAACATTCTTTCCTCCAGCCTTTGCATGACTGGCTCTTTCCTGCAGCCTAAGGTTGGTGCAAGGTTACTTCCTCACCAGGTCTTGCCTGACCCCCACCCCCACCCCAGCTCTGCCGGTCAGATCAGCCTTTTGCTTCATGGCAGTTATCACGTGCACAAGCAGACATTACCTTGTTGATTTACGTACTAGTCTGACTGTTCCACTGGGGAGTCTGTTACTCAAGGGTCTGGTCCCTACTTCTTTGCTGTTACCTGGTGCCAAGCACAGTAGGACTTACAGTACATATTTGGAAGGTGAAATCCAGAAGGCCTGGGAGCACAGTGGACCTGGTTGGGGCTAGAGGGAAGGAGGGGCGGCGATGAATCAGCCTGGCCCCAGTCAGTAGAAGCCAAAGGACAGTATAAGGGGCCAGCGTCGTGACTCCCCACCTCTGTGATCTTGGCAAGATACCTCCCTTTCTGATATCCCCAACTATAGCTCTCACAGGAGAGCTGGGTCCCACCTGCTTTCCAGGGTTCCCAAGGTGGGGTCCCAGACATCTCTCTTAAATCACACAAACTGTTTCTGAGTGGAGGAGAGGAGAGAACAAGTTCACTCAGGACACAGCCCTATGTCAGGTGTGTCCCTGGAGGAGGTGTGTTATACATTTGACAGCATGGGGTGGTACAGATCAGGCATAGATGAGGGTCTGCAAATTTTTCCTATAAGGGGCTAAATGGTAAATGTTTTCAGCTTTGTAAGCCAGTCTCTGTCATGGCCTTCCAATGAATTGGATTTAGAAAAGTGGGCACTGGATCAGACTTGACGTGGGCTGGCCAGCCCTGGTGTAGATCACATGTGACACCTCAGCCCTCACGCACAGAACCCTGGCCATCAAGCAACTGTCGCATCCTGGCTCCCCAGACCCCTGTGCTCACCACGTACCTTCAGCCCACTCAGGTGGTGGGATCACTTGTGCTCAGGAGGGCCAGCCCAGGAGCCTAGCAGCCTCCCAAACCCTCCCCCCGAAAGCAACTCTGTTCATTGCCCCACTGCCAGACACTCACCCTTCAGAAGTGTCCACTCTCTGCCAGCACCCTAGGTGCTGGGTACCCCGCCCAGAGGCAACACACGCAGTATCCCAAAGCCAGAGGCTGTCCTGAGGCAGGTCGGCCTCAGGAGGCGTGGGTCAGCTCTCTCCTCCCCTGTCCTAAGGAGACAGTGTTGTAGGCTCTCTCTTGCCTAAAACTCTCCCCTCCCTGGGTGCTGCTCTTCACTTCCTGCAGGCTCCCCACCTGGGTAATGTCGGGTCAGAGGAGGACCTGGGCAAGCTGGCCTCTCGAGCTCACCAAACCCCCAGGGCCGGATGGGGGCCGTCTGCTGGCTGCTGTCTCAGCACATAGTCTGTCTGTCTGACTCAGCTGCCAAATGTGTTAAGTAAGCCTTGGTCTGTGGCCACAAGACTAGGTGACACATAGGTGAGCTTGAAGGGAACGAGTGGCATCCTTTCTCAGGGCTCCCTCCCGGCATCGCCTGTGTCCCTGGACGGTCAGGGGAGGCCCCACCAGATGACCCGTCGCGAGCCCCGCAGCATGGAGCTCCCAGTCAAGAGAGCTCAGAGCTCTGGGTGCAGAATCTGTCCCGTGGCTTGTCTTTTGAGGACCTTACATTTAGACAGAAAGAAAAAGACGCTCACGTTCCCACTTCCTGGAATTGACCGGTATTGTGTTTTATCACTTTGTTGCTGCTTTTTTTTTAAATGAAAGAAAGAATATTATAAAGGTGAAGTCCTGCTTGATCCCCCCTCCCCGCCATTGCTAGTTACATCCAGGTGCCCCTTCTCCAGGCCACTTTCTTTGGTTTGGGTCCATCATTTGATTTTAACCTGTCTTAACCATTTTTAAGTGTACAGTTCAGTGGTATTAAGTATATTTCCATTGCTGTGAAACATCTCCAGAATTCTTTTCATCTTGCAAAACTGAAACTCTCTACCCATTAAATAACAGCTCTTCTTCCTCCTGCCGCACCCCCGCAACCTGGGCCACCACCTTTCTACTTTCTGTCTCCATGCATTTGACTACTTGCAATGCCGCATGGGAGTGCAACCGGATGAGTACTTGTCGTTTGGTGACCGACTTATTCCACGGAGCATAAATATCTTCGGGATTCATGCACATGGTAGCAGGTGTCAGAATTTCCTTCCTTTTACGGCTGAATTACCTTCTGTCACACATTTTGTCCAGCCTTTCAGCCGTCGATGGACATGTGGGTTCCTTCCACCTCTCGGCTGCTGTGAATAACGCTGCTGTGAACGTGGGTGTACAGTACCACTTTGAGACCCTGCTTCCCGTCTTGTGGGGAGACACCCCAGGAATGGAATTACTGGGTCAGATGGTATTTCTGTGTTTGATCTCTCAAGGAGCTTCCATATTCTTTTCCATAGCACGACACCAGTTTACATCCCTCCCCCACAACAATGCACCAGGATTTCAACTTCTCCGTGTCCTTCCCAACCCTTGGGTTTTATTTATTTATTTATTTACTTACTTACTTACTTATTTATTTTGACAGTTAGCCACCCCCGTGAGTGTGAAGCTCCATCCTCTCCATCATTGTTCGTAGATCTAGTGTCTTGAACACTTTTGCAACATTGTGTAATGTCTGCACATGAGCTGTCACATACCATTTGGCAGGCTGCTTTCTCCACTCAGTGTTTGATGTCTATGGTCACTCCACATTGACCCGCGTGGATTGGGTGTCATCATAGCTGCTGACACTCTTCCCACGTGTGAGTGGCCCAGCTGTGGGACCCGTTACCCCACTGCTAGGCATCTCTCTTGTCTCCGCAGCAGGTCATGAACTCACGGCCCTTGGGGATCTCCCTCGGCTGCACTCTGAGCTCCTCCCGTGGAGCCCTCAGCCGGCCCATCCCAGCACTCAGCCCAGCCCGGAGGGGTGGCCTCTGGAATTTTGCCAGATTGTCCACAACAGGGACCCACTGATCCGTCCTAGCAGGACAGCCCAGGGCTGTCACCAACAATCAGCGAGGTTTGCAACACAAAACCAAGATTAGCAACCTAAAAATAGTGGTTCTTACATAAGGTGGTGTGGGCAGCACTTCTCAGGATGCCTTGTGGTCTGAAGGGGGCAAGCGGTATGTGACTCAGGGGGCCGAGCACCCATCTTGTGCAATGCATTCAGCCTCTGCACTGGGCCCCACTCTCGTTTCCCATACGTGGTCTGACTTCTAGAACTGCAGTGTAGTGACCCAGAAATACCACGTGTGTGATCAGCTCAGCCAGGGTCATGCTGTGTGTGCCTGGGCACACTTATGCACATGGTGGTGGCTGTGAGGTCAGCTCTCACCAGCTTTTTCCTCAGAAGTAAGGCTGACTCACACATGGCAGACCCTCGGGGAGCTTTGGAAAGGTTCCTTCATTCACCAGCAACTTACAAAACACCTACCGTGTGCTCGGCACTGTTTCAAGCACCGGGGATACTATAGTGAACAAGAAAGGGCTCTTGTTCTCATGCTTAGAACCCGGTGAGGGAAATAGAAAACATGTAAGCAAATGATAAACAAGAAAATATTAGGTCCTGGTAAGTCCTGGGAGAAAAAACAAAATAGGGTAATGTCTTAGAGAAACTGGCAGTAAACTTTTTCTGTAAAGGGCCAGGTAGTAAATATTTCAGGCTTTATAGCCTACGGTGTCTGTCACCATGAGTCATCTCTGCCCTTGCAGCATGAAAACAGCCACAGACAATTTTAAATGAACGAGTGTGGCTGTGTTCCAATAAAACTTTATTTACAAAAACTGGCTGTGGGCCAGATTTGGCCCTCAGGCCATAGTTTGCCAACCCTGTACTTGAGATGAGGTTGTCAGAGACCCTTTCTGAAGGGAGATGAGAACTGAGAGCCCAGGCAAGACCTCATGGCGCCTTGCTGTTGATTTAGTCATGTAGCTGTGTGGTGCGAAGTAGGCAAACTCTGGCCCGTTGTGAGAGAGAAAAATGGTGGAGTTTATTCATGAGGTGACTCTTGGGGGTACAGGCAAGAGGAGGATGAGTCCTTGATTTGGGGCTTGAACAGATGGGTGAACAGTGGTTCTGCTTATGGAAAAGAGGAACTGGAGGGAAAAGCTGGGTTTATGCTGGGCATGTTGAATCTGAGAACCTTCTTAGATGAGCAGGTGGGAAATCATGTGGGCAGGGGGATATCCAGGCTTAACAGCGCAACAGAGAAGCCACAGCTGGAGGCTTGATCCGGGGAGTCAGTGGGATGTGGGTGGTCTTCAAAGCTGCGAGTCCCGAGGGTCAAAGGGAGTGTGTGTGAACAGAATAAGGGGGCGCTTGGATGAGATCTGGGCTACTGACGTTTCATGCTTGGCAGAGGAGGACAGAGAGGACCCCACACTCCATGGAGGAAGGCACTGTCCCCCCAGGGAACAAGCTCTGGGCCCCCTACTTACTCACAGAGCCTCAGTCCCTCCACCCCTCGTCAGTGAGGGATTCTGCCTCCTCGGGTTGGTGTGGGGACTAAATAAGAGAGTCATGCTTGACATGGAGGAGGCAGTCAGCACTTGGTACCTGTGACGGGGGAAGTGGTGCCCACTGAGCCAGAGGCCGAGGGAGCGGGTGCAGGTCTGTGACGGTTTGGCTTGGATGGCAGAGGCCATGGTGGGTTAGGGGCACAGGTGCCTGGCACTTGCTGTCCTGGTACATGCCCCTGCACCCTTCCACCTGGGACAGGCCCAAGTGCCAGGTCTCTGGTGTTGGGCGGGGGTTGGGGCTCAGTATCCTTGCCCCTTGGGTACAGCCAGTAGGGGCTGCTCTCTTCTGGCTCCTCTGGAGTTGACCGCCCCCACACCCTGGGCCACAGCAGTGGCCTGGATTAGTCACCGCTCTTCACTGCTGTCCCCCCATCCCTGGCTGACTTCCACCTGCCCGCCCCCCACTGGGGACTCCTCCTTCATCTCTCAGCAGCTCCTTGTGGAAGAGCTGGCTCTGGCTACTGGGGCAGCAGGTCTGTGGTTGGCTGTCCGTCTGGGCCCCGTGGGTTCCAGTGGGGTAATGGCTGGGGGGTGGGGATGGTCAGTGAGCTGGGGAGAGCCGTGTGGTTCCCACCCGGCGCCCCGCCAGCTGCCGCCTCCCTCACCCGCCGCCCCTCCCGCAGCCCCGCCGCCAGAGAAGATGGTGGATTCCCTGGCCAACACCGAGATCAACAGCCAGCGCATCGCGGCGGTGGAGAGCTGCTTCGGGGCGTCGGGGCAGCCGCTGGCCCTGCCGGGCCGGGTGCTGTTGGGCGAGGGCGTGCTCACCAAGGAGTGCCGCAAGAAGGCCAAACCACGCATCTTTTTCCTGTTCAACGACATCCTGGTGTACGGCAGCGTGGTGCTCCCCAAGCGCAAGTACCGCAGCCAGCACGTCATCCCGCTGGAGGAGGTGACCCTCGAGCCGCTGCCGGAGACGCCGCGGGCCAAGAACCGCTGGATGATCAAGACGGCCAGGAAGTCCTTCGTGGTGTCGGCCGCCTCCGCCACGGAGCGCCAGGAGTGGATCAGCCACATCGAGGAGTGCGTGCGGCGGCAGCTGCGGGCCACGGGCCGCCCGCCCAGCACGGAGCACGCGGCGCCCTGGATCCCCGACAAGGCCACGGACATCTGCATGCGCTGCACGCAGACGCGCTTCTCCGCCCTCACGCGGCGCCACCACTGCCGCAAGTGCGGCTTCGTGGTGTGTGCCGAGTGCTCGCGGGAGCGCTTCCTTCTGCCGCGCCTGTCGCCCAAGCCCCTGCGCGTCTGCAGCCTGTGCTACCGCGAGCTGGCCGCCTGCAAGCGGAGGGAGGAGGAGGAGGAGCCGGGCGTGGGGTCCCCGGGGCAGCCGTCCTATCTCTCCGGGGCCGGCGCCGGGGCGTCCAGCGGGGACGAGGAGGACTCTGACGAGGACAAGGAGGGCAGTGGGGACGGCGACTGGCCCAGCCGCGTGGAGTTCTACGCCTCGGGCGTCTCCTGGTCAGCCTTCCACAGCTGACCGTGTCTGCGGCCTTGATGGAGGGGCTCCCAGGCCCTTCTGCATCCAGGCAGACTCCATGGCCTAGACCCAGGCGAGGGCAGAGTTCCCAGGCTACCCCCCCCCTCCCCCCCGCCCCCCGCCGACCAGGACCCTGCCCCCACAGGTGGCAGGTGCAGTGGGAATGGCTCTTTCTCTCTGGATCCTAGTGCCTTTGTGCAGGACGTTGGCATCCTTCTTTTCCACTTCACGTAATTCTCTGTCCACCTAGCAAACCCAAAACACTTTGGCCTCTTAGGAACAAATAGTGCCTTTTCTCAGCCCTAGGAGCTGTAGTCCCAGATGATCCCTTGAGCTAGACAACCAGAGGCACCTTTCAGAGGACCAGAGGGAAGATAGGACTGGAATGAGGCCCCCTGAGGCCATGCACCCCAGCACCTGCCCCCCAGAAAAGCACACCCCCAGGGAAGACTGGGAGGGCTGGAAACAAGGTCTGCCCACGCACCTTGCCTGGCTAGCTGGGCCTTCTCAGGCCAGGCATGTGGGCTCACCTTGAGCCAGACAGACTGCCGTGCTGTGGGTGCCCACCAGGCATGGGACTGCCACCTGGCTCCCCGGGGGTCCCAGGCATGTGCCCGGGCCTCTGGCCCCATCTCCCTTCTCTCCAGGTGTCCAGGTGTCTGATGCCCCTCACTCCAGCCCTCGTCTCTCTATGGCTGAGGAAAGCTGTGTTTTCTGTTAGAACCCTTCACTGCCAGTGACAGAAACCCCACCCAGACTGACTTAACAATAAAAAGAACGTTTATTCACTCGTGTGGTCAAAAAGTTCAGGAGTGTCTTGCTTCAGACACGGCTCATCAGGGGCTGAAACCATGCGAGGTGGCAGATGTCCACAACTGTCCCCCATGGTGTCCTGGGAACACTGGCAGCACAGTGGGGTGGGACATTCGGGCCACACCTGGGCTGCTTCCTGAGAACATGGCCCCATCACCCTGGGTGCTCTGCCCATGGCCCAGTGCCTGGGGCCCTGTCCCCTAGGTGTGAGTCATCTGAACGGAAGGACAGAGCACAAACCCAGAGCCACTTGTCCAGCTCTGCCTGGGCCTTCCTGGCATAAAGCTGTCCCAGGCAGCCTCCTGTCTGGCCTGCCCCTGGGGAGGGTGCCGCTGACTGGGGAAGCCCCCCGTGCAGTGACTGGCCTTGCTCAGAGTGAGTGTGTCGAGGCTGGAGCTTCAATGCCAGCCTCCTGAGGCCTGGCCCGCAGCTGGCAATACGGTCTCTTGATTTGCTCCTGCTCTCATCTCCCTGTTGCCTGGCTGAACTTGGCCAGAGCCCGCTGCGGAGGGGGAAGTCACTGTCCCCTAGAAGTAGTGACTCTGGGACCAGGAAAGCCTCTCCCAGCCCACATGGCCCCATGCCTAAAACCCCTTCGTCAGGGCTCCAGGCCCCGGGGGAAAAATCCCCCTCTGGCTAGTTCTCAAGTCCTCCTGTGCGGACAGAACCTGAGGGTCTGGCTAGAGCACCAAGTCTGACTCAGCGGGTCGCTGGCTCCCAGCCCGTTGTGGACGGGGAGCCACCCCTGTGAGGGAGGGTAGAAGCGGTAAAGTGCAAGCACCCGGGCCTGCCTGTGGCCTTCTTGCATGGAAAGAAGGAGCAGGCGGGGGAGAGTCAGAGGTGTGTCCAAGAACAACTTGCTGGTTTTCAAGCCCTTGGCCTCCCTGAGCCGCACAAACGGGTCCAGGCCGGTTCCACCCGGCCAGCGGGCTCAGGGCAGGACAGGTGATGGGATAAGGGGCAACTTCCTGAAGACAGATCCCATACCCTCTCACAGCTAGGCCTGGCAGCCCGATCCCTTCAGCCCAGGGTAGGTGCCCAGCCCCAACCACTGGCCTCCTGGTCACAGCCCCACTCTCCTCGAGCCTCTCTTGCCGGGTAAAGGGGGAGTAGAAGCACCAGGCAGCATTCCTGTGAAAAGGAAGGAGGACTGCCTACAGCTGTGTGCCGCCAGCCTTCTCTACAGGGACCTGCCACAGGGGCACAGACAAGACCCTAGGCGTGCAGGACAGGTGGCGAAGAGACATGCCCTTCTCCTCAGGGCTGGGCAGCTGCTGGCTCGGCCCTCAGCCCAGGGCCCTTACCCCTGCTTCCCTAGTAGCCCCCACCTATTAGGGCCTGCAAGGACTCAAGGGCTTGAGTGGCCAACAAGCTTTGGGGGGGGCCTCTGGGCCATGCCAGGTGCTGGGAACAAGCCGTGGGTGAGACACACAAGATCCCCACTCTTAAGGTTTCTCCTCTGGCCGAGGAGACAAGTAAGAGGAGCAGGTGGTGTCAGTCCCCGTGTGTGCTGTGATGGGGACAGGACTGAGGCATGATGTGGTGGGCAGGTGGACAGAAGCACCCCACAGAGGTAAGCTCCCCCCAAATGGTGAGAAGGAGTGAGCATTGCCACCTGGGGAGGTGGCATTCCAGAAGGAGGGAATGGCAAGTGCAAAGGCCCTGAGGAGAGGAGCTGTTCAGAGCAGCATGGCTGCACTGAGGCCACACAGGGGGTGGGGCCAGCTCCGATAAGCCGGGAGCCACTGGAACCTTCCATAAGGCAGCAAATCTGCTCTTTGCTTTCCAGAGCTTGCCTGACAGCTGTGTGCAGGTGGCTGAGGCAGAGAGAGCATCTGGACAGCCACCCAGACTCCTAGGATCCCTGCGAGGGGAACCAGGCTCCGCTGAAGCCACATCTGCCTGCAGTGGTGGGTGGTGGACGGCAAGCCTGGGCTGTCACCATCTCCTCCTAAAGGCCTGGTCCCTCCCCTGTTCTGGATTACAGCAGAGGGTGCACCAGGAAGCAAGGTAAATGCCACGAACTGAACATTTGCCCTGGGCCAGTGTGAGAGGTCGATGCTTGCCACTGAAGCCCAGAGGGGAATATGTTAGGAGGAAGCAGGACCTCCCAGAAAAGAATATGTGGGCCCGAGAAGGGAAGGTGCTGCCTCAGGAGACCCCAACTCTGACTCCTTTAGGTCTGGTACCCCTTCAGAGACAGGCTCGTCATCCTGGCTTGGGTCACAGGTCAGGCCAGGCCCTGCCTGCACCTGCCCCCCAGGCTGTTCCGAGAAGGGGCTGGCTGCCCTCCAGGCTGCTGGGGGATTCTGCTTTCTCTCACCTACTTCCCCAGCAGATGTGGTCCTGCGAGGCACCAGAGCTGCCCCTAGTCGAAGCCATGCAACTGACCCCTGCCCTTGGCCACGAGGCCACCCCTGCGCATGGAGGAAGTCAGGAGGAGGTCAGGCTGAATCAGTGCCTCTGCTTTTTGTGATGTTCCCTCTTCCCGGAATGAAGCTTGAGGTCTGGCCGCAGGGCTGAATCTGCTGGGCTGACGTCCCAGCCCTCACTGTCTCCTGGGGCTTTGCTTACTAGGCCTGGCGAGGACAGGGAACCCACTGTCCTGCCAGCCAAGTGCTCCCTTCCACAGCCCAGGATTCCTTCTTCCCAGCTGTGCAGGGACTTCGTGTTCCTGCCAGAGGTGGATCCTTAAGCCCTGGGAGAAGCCCACCCTGCCCCTCCTCCTGGGAAGTGGACACAGGCCAGGGGAGGGTCCGAGGACCAGGCCCATGCATTTGCGGGGCACCAAAGGCCCCCACCACCTCCGCCTTGCCTGAAGCGCCCCTGTGGCATCAGCCCTGACCAAAGTCGCTCCAAGTGGAAAGTGAAGTCTCAGCGGTGACCTCAGGACATTGGAGAACCAACTGACAGGCAGGCTTCCCTTTAGAGTTTGACCTTCCCCTGGGCAGGGCTGCAGTGATCCTGTGGACCTCGGATACTGAGGGAGGCCTCTGTGGGCAGCAAGCCAGGGAACCCCTGCCTGGGAGTTCTGACTTGGGATTTTCTGATGTCGAGTTTTCTTAAATAAGGCTCGCCTGCATGGGAGCTGCTCACAACTGTACACTGTCTGCCAGAGGCAGGGAGCCAGGCAAGGGGTTGGCAGGACTGGAGGAACCTTATCCCTCCTTGGTGATGATGGAGGGTGGGCGGCATGGATGCTGATGGTGACAGTGGCTGCCTCTTACTGAGACCCATCTGGCCACTGCTCTCAGGAGGGCAGAGCCAGGTTACACAAGGCCGTCCTGAGGGGGATGCGGCCTGAGTCCTGAGAGACGGATAGATAAAGCCAGTGGCCAGAGGGATAGTTGTATGATCAGGGAGGGCTTCCTGGAGAAGGTGATGTTTGGCTGAGCCCTGGGAAGGCACGACTTTATCAGAGAGGACAGTGGTCTCCCCCAGGACTGGGACGCTGGGTCTTTTGTTCACTGTCCCCTCCTGTCCTTGGCACTGAACATTTCTGGATTGAAGAAATGAATCAAGTAAGAAATGAGGTTGGGGGCCTTCGGGCGGAAGGGATGGTAATGAAATGGCCAATGAGCCTCATATTTGGAGCCTCTGGTCAAGGTGCTGGATGAGAACTGGTGGGCCTGGCCTCTTTCTGGAGGGTAAGGACGCCTCTCCTTCCCCCAGACACTGACTGCTGCCCTGTCAGCAGGGACAGGAAGCGCCTATCCACCCCCTCCCAGGCAGAACTTCCTGGAGACATGAGGTCAGACCTGTTTGCAGGGGGACAGCCTCCTGGTTGGCCTCAGGGGATGTTAGCTGGCCCAGCTTCTGCCCAGCCCCTGCCCAGCCCCAGCCTCTTCTTGGGGACTCAGCCAGAAAGGGGCTGCTTCTGCCTGGCCGCAGCCTGTTCTTTTTTTTTTTTTTTTTTTTAAGATTTTATTTATTTATTTGACAGAAAGATCACAAGTAGGCAAGAGGCAGAGAGAGGAAGGGAAGCAGGCTCCCTGTCTAGCAGAGAGCCCGATGCAGGGCTCCATCCCAGGACCCTGGGATCATGACCTGAGCCGAAGGCAGAGGCTTTAACCCACTGAGCCACCCAGGCACCCCTGGCCGCAGCCTATTCTCGGGGACTCAGCCAGAAAGGGGCTACAGGGGAAGTCAGGGCCCCTGCCGGGTGCGGCTACCAGGCAGGTGGGGAGTGACTGCAGGGCTGACCCAGTTCTCAGACAGGATCCTGGGGCTCTCAGGCCACTCACAAACCAAGGCAGCCACTTCCGCTGGCCTGCCT